CTCCTTTCCACGTCCCACTGCACTCCCCCCCGGTGCTCAGCCCCCCCCCTCAACCTCTGCCTTCACATCCCCATACTCCTCCTCCTCCACATGATCGCCATCCTCCTCCTCCTCCTCCTCCTCCTCCTCCTCCTCCTCCTCCTACTTCTCATTCTTCACCTCCTCCACCTCCTGGGCTTCGTCTTCCGCCTCCTCCTCATGCGGATCCTCCTCCTCCTCCTCCTCCTCCTCCTCCTCCTCCTCCTCCTCCTCCTCCTCCTCCTCCTCCTCCCCCTCCTCCCCCTCCTCCTCCCCCTTCTACCGCTTCGTGGTCAGCGTCCTCGTCTTCAGGGCCGGCGGCACCGGCCGTAAGGCCGTCGCAGCCGAGACGCCGGATGTCCGGGCGTGGGCGCGGAGCGCCGGCGCCCCCGCCCCGTGCGTTTGTCGGCGTCGTGCGCGTTCTGTTCGCAAGGCGGCACAAGATGCTCCTCGGTTTTGTCGACCCAAGCGGGGGTCCAGCTGCAAGGGGGTGGTGCAGTAGACTTGGGGCCATGGTGTTGCAAGTGTACTGCGCCGGAGAACTGTATTGTGCTGTGCTGCGACGAATGTATTGCGCGCGAGCATCCAGCAAGACACCTGCGCCCCGGAGTGTCTCGCACGCCCCAAAGGTACTGCAGCCCCACAAATCGATTGCACCAGATCTATCGCACGACCCCCTTGTCGCTGGACCCCCTTGTGGGTCAACCCTGTTGATGGTCCAGATTTTCGGGCGCTGGCCTCGCCGAGAGTAATGCCTCCTCCTCCTCCTCCTGCTCCTCCCTCCTCCTCCTCCTCCTCCTCCTCCTCCTCCCTCCTCCTCCCTCCTCCTCCTCCCTCCTCCTCCTCCTCCTCTCCTCCTCCTCCTCCTCCTCCTCCTCCTCCTCCTCCTCCTCCCTCCTCTTCCCTCCTCCTCCTCCTCCCTCCTCTTCCTCCTCCTCCTCCTCCCTCCTCCTCCTCCTCCTCTCCTCCTCCTCCTCCTCTCCTCCTCCTCCTCCTCCTCCTCCTCCTCCTCCTCCCTCATTCCCTCCCTCGTCCTCCTCCCTCCTCCCACCTCCTCCTCCTCCTCCTCCTCCTCCTCTCCTCCTCCTCCTCCTCTCCTCCTCCTCCTCCTCCTCCCCTCCCTCCTCCTCCTCCCTTTTCCTCCTCCTCCTCCTCCTCCTCCCTCCTCCGCCTCCTGCCCTCCTGCTCCTCCTGCTCCTCCTGCTCCTCCTCCTCGCCCTCCTCCTCCTCCCCTCCTCCTCCTCCTCCTCCTCCTCCTCCTCCCCCTCCTCCCTCCTCCTCCCTCCTCCTCCTCTCCTCCCCTCTCCGCTCCTGCTCCTCCTCCTCCTCCTCCTCCTCCTCCTCATCTTCCCTCCTCCTCCTCCTCCTCCTCCTCCTCCTCCCTCCCTCCCTCCCTCCTCCCTCCTCCCGTCTTCTCTTCCTCCTCCTCCTCCTCCTCCTCCTCCTCCTCCTCCTCCTCCTGACAGGCCCGACTTAATGCTGGCACCAGGACTCGTTCTAAGCCAGCCTGTGGCCCCCCCCTGGCTGCGTCCCCATCACTGGCGTCGCCCTTTTTTTCCTCTCCGCGCCCCCATCCGCGCTCACCGTACTGGTACGTCGAATCTTGGTGGTGGCTCCCGCGGCGCGCGATCCCTCAGCATCTCCCGGAGGCCCCTCTGCTTTTGTACCTGTTCCTGTTTCGCTCACCCGTGCACCCTCCGCCGCCATCACAATCTGCCCGTTTGCGTCCCCCCCAACCCCCTCCCCTCTCCCAGCTCCCCTGGCATCCAAGTCTTTGCGGTTTCTTGTGGCAGGGGAGCTGCGCTAGACGCGGAATTCTTTGGTGGGCGGAGTTTCGGGTTCGAGGGGGGCTTGAAACACAATTTTGGGTGTACTGGTCCATCCGCAGGGCCAGAAGGGCTGAACTCATTTCGGGCCCGCCAGCGGGCCCGACTTGGGTTCAGCTCCCTCGTGTTGACCAATCTGGAGCCACGAGGGCTGAAGCCATTTTGGGCCGCTGGAGGGCCCGCTTGGGTTCACAATACCGGGGCTTGCGCCTCGCACCCCGCAGACGAGTATATCCACAGGCTGTTGGAAGTACAGCGTGGGCTCACAACGTGTCCAGCGAACGTGGCCGACATTAGTAGGATGAACTCCATTCGCGTAAGCATGGTCCCTCGATGCCTGCCGGGGCACACAGACGGTTCGGTCGGGCAGAGCTCTGCAGACCCCCCCCCCACGCACACGCCTCTCCCTTCCCCCCCTCTCCGGTGCCCGGACAAAAAGTGTCCACACCCAGGGCGGCAAGACACTGCGACGTGATAACAACGGCAACAGCATGATGCACTTGCCTCGCACCCCTCCCCCCTAAACCCAAAGTTGAAGTGTCCACACTTTGTCCCTGGCGCGCGGCCTGCCGCCCAACCCCGCCAACTTTGAGCTTGGGGAAAGGGGGGTATACAGATTCGTTCGACGTGATTTGGCGACGAGTTGTCCTGGCGCGACGAGTGTGGACACTTTTTGTCCGCCCACCGTCGCTCGCCCTCCCCCCCTCGGCCCCTCGCCCTTCTGCCTCCCCCCCCTCCGCTTCCCTCCCTCGCTCTGCCCGCCCTTTTATCTGCAGCAGTTGGGCGCCGGGAGGGCCGAGGGTGGGGGCGGGCAGCTGCCGCCAGAGGAAAGTGCATCCGAGGTCGGCCTCTCTCTCTCTCTCTCTCTCGAGGAGGAGGAGGAGGAGGAGGAGGAGGAGGAGGAGGAGGAGGAGGAGGAGGAGGAGGAGGAGGCGCTGGCTGCTTGAGCGTCTGCCGTTGAAGGCGGCCCGGAGGGCCTGGGTGCGTCGCTGTAGAGTTTGAGCCCGCTGCTTCGCTCTGCGTGCCTGGTGCGGTGACGGCGCCGGTTGCGCACCGAGGCCGGGACGCACCAAGTCCGTGACATTCGGATCCTGGGTTACTGAAGGGGCCCTGGGACACACAAATAAATACATACAAATCCGCCGACCCTGTCGGCGTGTGCGAGGGGCTTCCTCGTCCGAATCGTCTTCGTTGTTCGGATTGACATCGTTGTGTTTTCGTCGTTGTTCGGATCGTCATCGTTGTCCATTGTAGATTCGAAGGGAAGCCCCTTCCCTTTGATCCCTTCCCCAGGGGGGGGGGGTGGGGGGGATGGGGTGGGGGGTGGGGGGGGTGGGGGGGCAGATTCGTTTTTCCTCGGGCGGCCTAGAAACCTCGAAAACACTCCAAATGAGGTCCGAATGCCCAAGATGGCCCCCGAGACGGCCCAAGAGGGCCCCGAGTCGCCCAAAGATCGGCCGAAAACGCCCAAGATGGCCCCAAGACCGTCCAAGAAGCCTCCAAGACGTCCCAGGCCCCCTCCAAGAGACCCCCAGGAAGCCCCAAGAGGCCCCCACGACGCTTCCAAGCGGCCCCTAAGAGCTTCCCAAGAGGCCCACAAACTACCCCCAAGAGGCCCCCAAGAGCGCTCGTCGTCGTCGTCGTCGTCGTCGTCGTCGTCGTCGTCGTCGCCATTCAGGGTCGGCGGCACCGGCCGTAAGGCCTTCGCAATAAAATGGTTCCCCATATTTTCCAATATTTTCTGGATTTTTGTCTTCCCGCCCAATTCCTACATTTTTCCCATGTTTTCTGGGGAATCGACGGTTAATTGTGTCTGTGTGTTTTGTCTCCCCTCCTGGGTCATGGAGTGCCGTCCTGGGCCAAGTCCGCGACGCGCCGACTCCGTGACGTTGGTATTCGTGCTGCGGTGGGCCGTTCTGTGTGCAGAGGGGGGCCTCTTGCGCCCACTGCCCTGGGGTAGCAGATGGGCAGGCACGCCCCCACGGCGGCCTGGCCGGCAGAGCCAAACTCCGAGGTGGGCCCCCTCAAGGGGGCGATGAGCCAGATCGCACCCAAGTTCGTGACGCAACGAACACGTCGTCACGAACTTCGGTGCCGCGCCCGAGGGGGTGTTCCTCGACACTGGAGCCCCAAACCGCTCGACCAGAGCGGGGGTGACTTTCCCAATCCTCGTCGAGAAGCATGTGGCATCCTTCCCCTGTGGCCGAAAACTGCAAGTGGGCCGAGGACCCCCCCTGGTTTCGAGCAGGTGGCCGATAGCCTTCTGCAGCACCTCCGACTTTTAGGGTGCGGTGTGCGGTCGGCCAACCATTAGATTCGTATTTCTCGCAGTCGCACAGTCTCCAGTATTTCGTTGATGGCCGCTTCATCCTTAAGGATGGGTTTAGGTACCCTCTAAGCCTATAGCGATCTTGCTACTCCTGCTCCGACTGCTGCTGCTGCTGCTCCTCCTTTTTCCTCACTCTCCTCCTCTTTCTCCTGCCCATCCTTCTGCTCATCCGCGATCTCCCCGTCCTTCTCCTCCTCCTCCTCCTCCTCCTCCCTCCCATTTGTCCTCCTCCCTCCATCCTCCTCCTCCTCCATCCTCCTCCTCCTCCATCCTCCATCCTCCTCCTTCTCCTCCTCCTCCTCCAGAGTTGCACAGCTCCCCTTTCTGCTGACGGCGCACCACCCACAACGGAGTCATGCCATTTTGCAGAGCCAGGTCCGCCCGCCGGGGGACACCCGTCGGCGGATGTAGAGGACAAAAACAGCGCAAAGGGAGGGGCTGGGTAGGGTCAGGTCGGGCCTGTCCCCCCACAGGCAGATTTCCGAGGACAGATTACAATTACCCCAAACAGATTCAAACATTGTCAAGGCATACTATCAAACATCGTCCCACGGAGCATGTTTTGCCTATTTTTGAACATTTCCCCCTGTAGGGAGACAGGCACGACTTAAGGGTAGGGGCAGGATGTCAGATGTGGCGCGCGCGCGCGCTTGGCTTGCCCCTCGCCGAGTATTTCCTCATTGTTGCCGCCCCTCCCCTTTCCTATCCCCCGCCGTCCCCTGGCCATCTTGCTCTTCCCGCTGGGGCTCCCGCTGCTGCTGTTGTCTCCTCGTCCCCTTTCTTCCTCCTCCTCCTCCTCCTCCAGCGTTCACAACTTCCTTCCCCTTTCCGATTGCGCATAGCACGATAGGGGGTCCTCATTTTTTTTTGTTTTTCGCTTCAGCGACGAATCCCCGCAGACGAGAGATTCGGAGCAGCGCACACGCCGACCTGCAACAGGCAATCCCATGCACAGAGGCGTGGCATTTGAGAACATTCAATGACGCCGCGCACATATACACGCGCGCACGCACAAACACATGTACCTTACGACCAGACTGGCCAAACGTATAACATTCGCACTACGGCATAGAGAAGGGGACATGCTCGGACACTGACGTCTACCTCATGATGCCCCAGCTCGGCCGCGCGATGCGTCCGACGCACCTGTTGAACGCTGCCATGTCGAACAAGTTACTCGAACCCTTGTCCGAATTCTCAGCCCAGATCCACCCGTCCATCGGCGCGTTCCAGTACTCCTGGTAGATGACGCAGTTTGTGTTCAACATCGCTGGGACATGACCGAAGCTACTCCGAGACAGAATCACGAAGTCGGCCCGCGCGATGTGCGCCCAAGCGTCTAAGACAGCATGTGACGCCCAAGTCTTGTCTTCGTCGGTATGCACGTGGCACCCCGCGCTCTTGTAGGTGTTGAATTCGCGCTGGTCGGTGCTCTCATCTACGCTGGTGAATACGTGCACGTCGGCGTTGGGCATCAGGTGCCTGATCTTCAGGATCTTGTCCATGTACCAGGAATGCGGCGACCGAAGGATTGCAAAACAAAACCCTTCGGTTGAACGAAGGATTGCAATCCTTCGGTTTTTTTTTTTGCAATCCTGTGTTTTTTTTGCAATCCTTCGGTTTTTTTTTGCAATCCTTCGTTTAACCCTTGGGTTTTTTTTTGCAATCCTGTGTTTTTTTTTGCAATCCTTCGCTAAACTGGTTCATACCCTTCTCCTTCACGTCACCTCTCTGGATGTGCACGGCCACGGCCGGCCGCCCGTCGCTGGCGAACCACCACGGGGCGCTCCACGACGGCCCTGTTGGATCCCATGGCCCGGAGGGTGCTGACGAAGTCCTCGGCCATGTACGTCCAGCACCCTCCTCCCCCTCCTCCCCCTCCTCCCCCTCCTCCTACTCCTCCTCCTCCTCCTCGTCCTCCTCCTCCTCCTCCTCCTCCTCCTCCTCCTCCTCCTCCTCCCCCTCCTCCCCCTCCTCCCCCTCATCCCATGTACTGCTGGATCTCTGGCCTCGCAGTGCGCTGCTTGGCAAACTGCGTGGCAACGTCGGATCCGTCGAGACTGCTCTGGGACCCCGGCGCGAGCGGGTCGGGTCTGCCGAGGGGCACGGTATCGCGGGTGTCCTTCTCCAGCGCCCTGATGTCGAGATACTTGGCAACGTGGGGCTGTCTCCGGTTCACGAACAGGTCGGTGGAGTTGAGGCCGAAAAAGAAATCGTAAACCATCTTCGCGTCGACGCCGTACGGGAAGCCATGGTAAATCCTGACCGGGCACTCGAATGGGACCGAGACGAAGCCAGCAACGTTCATGCCGTTTTTCGCAGCGACAGCCATCCCCAAGATCATGTTGTGGATGCGCGTCCCGACGCCGTCCTCGGACTCCTGGATCCACAGACTCGGCGAGCCCTCCGGGTGCATCATGCAGAGGGGGCATGCGCTCAGGGTCGCATTGGGCACGGACCCGATGCGCCAGTTGCGACCCGTCTCCAAGTCGGGGAGCATGGCGCACATGGAGGTGTCGGACTGCGACCGGCGACCGCCGCCGACCAGCTGCTGCGCCACCGCCTCTGCCGCCGCTCCGGCGGCGGTGTCGGTGGCCTCGGCATGCTCGCTGGGTGGCTGCGCCTGCAGCGCGACCGCCAGCGGCAGTCCCACGAGCGCCAGTGCCTTGAAGCCACGGGCCATGGCGGACGGGTGGACGGGCGCAGTGGGTGAGGTAACGGGGTGGCTGTCAGAGGACCTCTGCAGATGGCTTGAGCCAAAATGGCTACGGAACGATAGGGGGTCCTCTTGGGGGTTCCAGGCCCGCTATGCCTACCATCGGCGGGCCGAGAAGAAGCATCGCAATGGGACTGGGTGGGCGGGGCAAGATGGCAGATGTGGCAAGCTAACGCACTTAGCTTGCCCCTCCTCCTCCTCCTCCTCCTCCTCCTCCTCCTCATTTGTCCTCGTCCCTCCTCCTCCTCCTCCTCCTCCCCTCCTCCTCTTCCTCCTCCACACCTTCCCCCCCCCTCTCCCCCCCCATCGCCCCTCACTTCCACCGCTCCTCCCGCCTCCCCACCTTTCCCCTCAGTTCCTCCCCATCTCTCCCTCTCCTTCTCTCCCCCACAACGACTCAACATGAGCACCACTCACCCCTCTCCCCCGAGGCCGTGCCGACAGTCGCGCGCGCCCTCTGCTTCTTACACGCAGGATGGGCCCGAATGTCACCCACATCTGCGTATCTGTTGATACATCCGATCCGAACGTTCCCGGTCCTTCCAAGCCGGTGCTCCCGCTGCAGCTTGGGCCTCATTTTCGGATTGCGGCTCTGCTCGCGTCGTGCAAGATTCCGCTCGCTCTCGCCCCAGCGCGGGCCTCTTTTCTCCTCCGTCTTCCCCTGGTCCTCCAGCTCATCCCGCTACTTCCGCTCTAATTTCTGCTGTTGCTCGTCCGCGTCATCCCCCTATTCCTTCTCCTCCTCCTGCTCCTATGTACGCAACTCCCATTTTCCGATTGCGCATAGAGCGACAAGGTCCATTTAGGGGTTCCAGGTCCACTATGACACGTGTCCGCGCATAGAGAACAAACTCAGCGTAATCGGGAGGGATTGGTGGGTGTGGGAAGGGGGGTAGGATGTCAGATGTGGTGCGAGCGCACGTAGGTTGTCCTTCCCCCCTTGCCCCTTACCACTAGCCCCCTCCCCCTCCCCCTCCTCCTCCTCCTCCTGCTCCTCCTCCTCCGTCCTTCCCCTCCTCCCCCGTCCTGCACCTCTCCCCTTCCCTCCCCCACCCACCTCCCCCTCGCAGGGCGTCGCGCTGGCCGCTGTCCTCGCACCTCGGCGCAAAGGACTTCATCGTATCCCGCTGTACATTCATGAAGGCCTGGTAGATGGTGTCCTTGTTGAGTGAGACGGCTCCATGGTTCCCTTTTAAACCCATTCGGCGTCTGAGCCCGTTCGGCTGCCGAACGGACTCAAATCGAGCTCACTCAGCGGCCGAAAGGTCTCAATTCCCACGACCCGGTCGAACCGATCTCGTTCGGCTGCCCGTTCGGTGGCCGAACGGGCTCAAACGCCCAACGGGCTCAGGAGGGAAACCAGAGGAGGGGAAGAGGAACCTGAGGAAGAGAGCAGGAGGAGAGGAAACACGATAAGGACGAGTACAGCCAAGACTGGTTGACATCGGGCACCCGAAAGAACACAACTCTATTCCGAGGACAAGCCATGACGTACACATTCGGTTGACATGAAGCGCGGCATATCGACATGCCACATGAGTACCCTTGACCCTGCAGGGGGTAGAGCTAGGTCGGGCATGTCCTCCTACAGACGGTTTCTTTGAAGAAACATGAAACTAGTCAGAACGTACGCGACGACTAATCGTCCCCGTACTGTTTTTGTTGACTACTTGTCTATTTTCGAGTCTTCCTCCTCTAGAGGGGCATGCCCGACTTAAGGGTAGAGGGGAGACGACGATGGGGAGAGACAGAGAAGGAACACCACGTTGTCGTCCTTCGCCATCACCGCCTCGTCAGTCATGACGGCGTAGAGCTCTGTGAAACTTATGTTCCTGCTCGGAGGCGGCGGGGGAGACCGGCTCCGACGGGCACCGAAGAGTTCAACCAAGGCGGGGGAGGGGACAACATCAGCTCACTGTACCGGCGATGCCCTTGTTCCTCACTGGTAGAGACGCCGCAGAGGGGGCCGAAGCCTCTGTACAACGGCCCTTGCAACACTCCCCCTTCCCCCTGTCAAGGTCGGAGACGCCCCAGGATGGCCCCGCCTGCTTGGAATGATCAGGCGTGTGAGATGCCAGGCTGCCCCCTCCGCCTGCTCCTCCCACCTGAGGGTGAGAACTTCAGTTCGAGGAGGGACGGGGGGGTACTACTACGTGCACTTATCCGCCAGCGTGCTTGCGAGGCACGAGTTGGAGTGTCCTCATCCTGAGGATCTTTCAGAAGGACCGCGCCCAAAATTCTCAAATCTCCTCGAACTCCCGGTGCCCAGTACTTCTACGGGCACAGAGGGCCCCAAAGAGGGGCCAAGAGGGCCCCAAGAGGCCCCGGACCTACAGCCAAGGCACGGGATGGGCCGAAGGCCACTAGATCCGCCGCGCGCTGTTGATTTATCACAGGGGTGCCTGGCGTGCCAGATGTCTTACGGTCGGGGCGTTGACCTAAGGAACCCTAAATAAGGAACGAGGCCCCTTTTTTGAAAACAAAAGGAAAACCTGAGGCAAGCTGTGAAACACTTCAGGAACGCGGAGCCCCTCCCCAACCAAAAGGGTTCCTTCTTCAGGGCCTCGACTGTATAGCTTGTTGGCAAAGACTTCTCCGCTCCGGATGGCTCCAAGATGCCACACGATGGCCTCCAAGACGGCTAAGGTGGCCTCAAAAGCGGCCAAGACGGCTCCGAGGGGAGCCCAGGATGGCTTCAAGATGCCTCCAGGTCCGCATGCGAAGCCACCAAGACGGCCCAAGATGGCTCCAGGATGGCCCAAGGGGCCCCCAAGAGTCCTCCAAGACAGCCCAAGAAACCTTCAAGAGGTCCTCCAGGACAGCCCGACGAGGCCAACGCCATCAGGTTTTTGACAGGCACCCACCCGTCACCATTCGAGAAGATGCCCACTTTCCTCCACCTCCTCCTCCTCTTCTTCTTCTTCTTCTCCTCCTCCTCCTCCTCGTCCCTACCGCGCGGACGCAGACGCTGTCGGGACCACGACTCCCCTCAATTTAGACCACTCGCTGAACTGCCGCGGGATGTGCACTCGACCTTCTCCATACCGCGCGCGGACGAAGACGAGGTCGAGTTCGCTGGTGCACAGGCACGGTGGCGGCGTTTGCCGCGGGCAGCTGGACACTTCCCGGGCGGCTTTTCGCTTGGACGTTCGCTTGCATGGTTCAGACTCGACGGTGCTGATACCAGCGAACGGCCAACGAAAACGAGGAGGCGTACAAGGAACAAAAGGAAGATAATGGAGCAAGGCACAGCACGCTCCAAGCTCCTGCTCTTGTTCAGCAACCTCTCCGCGCCGACGCGCCGCGAGTGCCCGAAGTGGAGCGCCGTGGGGTCTAACCACTCCTCGGCTCGGACTCTTGTGCGAGGAAGAAGGAGTTCCTCCACAATCTCTTCCTCTTCCTCCTCCTCCTCCTTCTCCTCCTTCTCATCCACGTCCTCTCCTCGTCCGCCTCCTCCTCCTCCTCCTCCTCCTCCAGAAGCTTCCTGCTTCCTTCTCGACCTCCAGCTCCCCCTCCTCCTCCTTCACCCCCTCCTCCTCCTCCTCCTCCTCCTCCTCCCTCCTCCTCCTCCTCCTCCTCATCCGCCTCTCCCTTCCTCCTCTCTTCTCCTCCTCCTCCTCCTCCTCCTCCTCCTGAGGCGCTGAGGCACTGACGGCAATGTAGTCTTCAGACGCTCCTCCTCCTCCTCCCCTCTCCGCTCCTTCTCTCCTCCTTCCTCCTCCTCCTCCTCCTCCTCCTCCTCCTCCTCCCCCTCCTCCTCGTTCTTCTTCTTCTGCTGCTGCTGCTGCTGCTGCTCCTCTCCTCCTCCTCTCCTCCTCCTCCTCTCCTCCTCCTCCTCGTCCTCGTTCATCTTGTGTTCTGCTGCTGCTGCTGCTGCTCCTCCTCCTCCTGCTGCTGCTGCGGCTGCTGCTGCTGCTGCTGCTCCTCCTCCTCCTCCTCTCCCTTCGCCACCTCTTGTTGTTATTCCTGCTCCTCCTCCTCCTCCTCCTCCTTCTCCTCCGCCTCCTCCCCACCTCCTCCTTCTCCTCGGCAAACGACTTCGCCAGCCCGTGGGCGATGTTCGCACTCCCCGTCCTGCGCCCCAATCCACCTCCAGGGCTATCCCAGAGGACCCCTCGCAGGTTGGGGAGGAAGGGTAGCATGAGAGGGAACAAAACAAGGTCGACGAAGACGACCACGACGTCGACGATGTCGATGCCGATGCCGATGACGATGCTGCTGTTCCTGATGATTATGCTAAAGGTGCTGCTGCTGATGATGACGATGATGACGATGATGATGGTGGCGATGATGCTGATCATAATTATGACGATTACGATGAGGTCCATTATGCTGATGATGGTGATGCAGAGGATGCTGCTGATGTTGATATTGATAATGATGCCGTTGATGATGATGATGATGATGATGATGATGATGATGATGATGATGATGATGATGATGATGATGATGATGATGATGATGATGATGAGGAGGATGATGATGATGATGATGATGATGATGATGATGATGATGATGATGATGATGATGATGATGATGATGATGATGATGATGGTGATGGTGGTGGTGGTGGTGATGCTGAATAATATGATTATGCTGATGGTGATGCTGATGGTCTGGATACTGCTGATGATGACGCCGCTGCTGCTAATGTTGGTGTTGCTGACGCTGACGCTGATGCTGATGATGCTGCTGATGATGATGCTGCGAATGCTGATGAGGAGGACTCGTTGGGCATCGCGGCATGGGGTCGGGCCGCAGTGCAACGTAGAGCGTTCCCACGGGTAGCCAGGAGGAGTCAGATTGGGAGAAGGAAGAAAGGAGGGGAAAGAGGAGGAGAGGAAGAGGAGGAGGAGGACGAGGTGGAGGAGAAGGAGGTGGTGGAGGTGGCCCTCCTCCATCTCCTCCCTCTCCTCCTCCTCCTCCTCCACATCTCATCCTCATCCTCCTCCTCCACATCCTCATCCTCATCTTCATCCTTTTCCTCCTCCTCCTTCTTCTCCTCCTCCTCCTTTTCCTCAACCTCCTCCTCCTTCTCCTCCTCCTCCTGTTCCCATCCTCGTCCTACTCGTCGCTGTTGTCGTCGTCCTCCTGCTCTTCCCCCTCCTCCTTCCCCCCCTCCTCCTTGAACACGGGGGGGGGGGGGCCCTGTGCGAAACTTGGAGCGCCGCCCGGTGGCAAGAAAGGCCCCCCCTTCATACCCTCGATCATTTTTGGAGCGTCCCCGGCTGTTCGCCTAGGCACCCGGAACAGCTCAGGGTGGGGGGTCAGCTCCTACATGCTCTAGTCCTTATGCTCTCCGAGCGCTTGCGTGCGGGGACTGGAGGCTGGATGGAACACCCCATCCCCGCGACGTGGGTTCGCTCCACCTCCACGTCATGGAGGTGTCCCCCCCTGGTCGCGCAGGTGTAGTCTCCAGTTGCCAGCACGACCGATTTCGATCAGTGCGAGCATCTGCCTGATAGCACAAACTGGCCTACCGTTGGAAGGGCTCCCACGCGCATGATCAACATACGCATGCCGAAGCTCGGTAGGCTTCTCCAGGACATGCCAGGCCATGGGCGCTGTTCACATGGTAGAGACGCTCATTTGACGCTTCTTGGCCGTCGGG